GGCCCTCTGTGTCGTTCCTTGCTTTAAGCATATTTATTAAGTATGCTCTGTGCCACCAGTTGGGCTCAGAACTGGGGCAAAAGTACAGGATAAGGAAGACATAGCCCCAGCCCTTGGGCCCTTGTCACCCGCTCAGGTGGGGGGCCTGAGATTGCAGCTCCTAGGAATATCCCTCTGTTTTATTTACTTGGTAAAGTATCGGTAACTTTTTGCCGTGGACGATTGCAAAACTATGTAAGTAGAGAGAGTAAGACAATGATCCCATTCTGCCCATCAATTGCTTCAGTAGTTAACAACGCATAACCAATCTCGTTTCATCTATATATCTACCCTCCTCCCTCTCCTGCCCGTCACCTGGATTTTTCTTTTAATTCTTTACATTTTATGTTTTTTTGAATGTTTAGTCATTTTTGAGAGAGAGAGACAGAGCACAAGGCACCCCATCACCTGAATTATTTTTGAAGCAAATCCTAGGCATCGTATCATTTCAACCGTGGATATTCTGGAACATATCCCTAAAGTATGCTTGCAGAAGATAAGGACCGGTTTTTTTAAGAATGTAACTGCAATGCTACTATCACCCTTAATAAGTTAATTGTAATTCCTTAATATAATCAGATATCCAATGTTCAGACCTCCCGGATTGTCCCATGATGGTTTTGTGTGTGGGTGTGGTTTTTTTTGTTTTGTTTTGTTTTTTAGATCGTTCGATTCAGGATCTGAATATATGTATGGACATTGCAACTAATTGATGTGTCTGTTAAGTTTCTTTAATAGATAGGTACTTTTGCCAGCTCTCTCTTCCTCCCTGTGCAATTTCTTTGCTGGAGAAGTAGGGTCATTCGCCCTGGACTTTCCCAGTATCTAGACCTGCTATTTGTAACCCCATATATTGTTTAACGTCTTCCTCTGCCCCACATATTTTCTGTAAATTGGTAGTTAGGTTCAGCGGGCTTGATCAGAATCGGGTTTGTTATTTTTGGCAAGAATTCATCATGCTGATTGTCCCTCTCCGACCTACAGCCACCAGATAGTCCTCCCACAATTACAAGATGTTCCGTTAGAGGATGGTTTTTCAGAATGTCTAAAGATAGGAAGCATCCAAACACCTAATTATTCCAGAGGGATTTTCAAAACAATGAGTGTATTAGTTTTCTGTTGCCACTGCAATAAATTTGCACAGACTTCGTGACTCGGTGTACCAATTTGTCAGTTTATGGTTCTAAAGGTCAGGAGTTCAGAACAGATCTTACTGGGCAAGATGAAGGCATTGGCTGGGCTGCTTCCTTTCTGGGGCCTCCAGGGAAGAATTCATTCCCTCACCTTTTCTGGCTTCTAGAGGCCACCCATGTCCCTTGGCTGACAGTCCCCTTCCTTGGTGTTCAAAGCCTACACTTTGCAACCCTCCGACCCTTCTTCACAGCTCCCTCTGAGCGCAGCTGGGAAAGATTCTCTGTTTTTAAGGACTCACGAGTACATTGAGCCCACCTGGATAATCCAGAACATTCTCCCATCTCAAATTCCTTAGCTTTATTCGCATCTGCAGAGTTACTTTAGCCATGTAAGGTCACGTATTTTCAGGTTCCAGGGATTGGGATGGAGACATCTTCAGGGGGCCGTTATCATATGTAGCCCGGTGCTCCTACATTTTTAAACATTCACACCATTGTAATGCTGACAGATGATTGGGAGAGTGTGGCATGTTGCAAATGATTGTGGTATCAGGGTGACTTGGGCTATGTGATGGGGGGCAGATCACGGTAATGAGCCATGAGCGTGCGTCTGCATCATTGCGTAGGTCTTGATTGTATAAAATGAGCAGCAGCATTTTATCTTGGCTCATTGTCTCTCGGGTAACTGTGCCACATCCCCTTAGAAATGCTGTGGTAAGCCCGGAGATACTCGGGTCATCAGGATGGTCAGTGACACATACACAACCATCTCCATTACCTAGACCTTCTGTGTCTTGGGAGTATGGACAGCACTCGAACATAGTGAGGAACATAGTGTGCTAAGTTCTTGCACAAATGATCCGAGTGGCGCAGAATTTTTAACCCTCGTTCTGTTTTGCGTTAGCGAGATAACCTTTCTGCAGTTAAGTCAGATAGTGGGTGAAGGTTGAAAGAAAAGAGGGAGGAATAGGTTTTTTCATTCACAATCCGTGTCTCTACTAGATAAAGAGACTTCAGGACTTTAATGATTCTTTTCCTAATTGGAACCGTGGAGGAATCTCCTTTCCTCTCTTTAATTGTTTTCCCTTTTAATCCAGGCTGACACTTGACCCTTGGTCCTTCATATAGACTATTCTTGGGATGCATTTGGAATCTTACCGTAACATCGGTCATCCTATAGTGGCGCTAGGCCGATGATAGATTTAACTTGGAGGCCATCCAAAAGGTTGTTACTTAAGACCAAAAGGACCTCATCGTAAAGTGATTTTTGCTATAAAATGGTCCCTTGGAACAATCCCTGGAGATGGCAGGTCATTTGTATAGTTAAAAACATACATAGTGTCAAAAAATGTTACTAAGGGGTCCTTACCTCACACCATTAGTTCAAATAAATTCCAGATGAATTAACAAGTTAAGTGTCATGGCTTAATTCCCTGAAAAGACTAGGAAAAAAAATAAGTAAATGTCAATGTGATCTTGGGTGAGAAAAGACCTTCGTGATTCCTGCTTTTGTAGATCACGCTTCTCTGTGAAGCAGTCGTTGAAAAATCCCCATCAGCAAGTCAGGCCGCACATGGCACGTTGCCCTCATCTGGCATATTGCTAGGGTAGAAAGCCATGAGGCTCAGCCCCAGAATGTTCTTCCCAAGGCACCAGAAAGCAAAGTAAAAAAGCTCAAAGAGATGGCTGAAATTGCCTAGTTAAAAAACAAAACAAAAGAAAACAAAGCAACAACATCACATTTTAAAGACAATAGCTAGAGTGACTCGAATTCTTTTATCTTTAAAATTTCAGAATCTAGAAAAGTAATACATCTTTACATTTAACACAAACTATTTTTTTACTATTTTGCTCTGCATCGTTTTGCTATATATTTTGCTATTTTACTCTATATCGTTTAGCATCCTGCTTTTTTTTTTTTTTTACTTACTGACATATCATGAACTTCTTTTAACATCAAAATATTCCTGTATAATATCATTTTTAGTAGCTATTAGTGTTTTCCTTATGAATATACTGTATGTTTTTAAACAAATCCCCATGTCTGGGCATTCAGTAGTTTCCAGGGTTTCGCTATTAGAAACGTATCAGTCTGGATCCAATCAGGAAAAAGAAATTTGAACAGGGAAAGTTGAATATTTTATTAACCAAAGGGGATCAGGGTAATGAGGGATTGGTAGCAAGTAGCAAGGAGACAGAAACAGCAGGCGTAAGGTGCAATCACAAACTCTTGGACTGAAATCGAGTGTCCTAGGAAGCACCCCACACCCCTGGGACTAAGGTGTGGGGGTCGCTGTGGTGCTGAGCTGGTGGAACTTGCCAGAAATCTGCCCTCTGGGGTGCCAGGGAATACTGTCCTCATGGCAGTGTTGAGCCGGCGGTATTCTGTTACGAAAAGGCCCAAGGTGGGGGTGTGTCATAAGAAGTTGCGGGTCTCTTGGTGTTGCTGTGCACGGGCTCGTGGCACAGAGTGGGCTGGAGCCAGGAAGCCGAATGTTGTCCTCCCGCGGTGTCTCCGCAGTCCTGTCTATTGACAAAGCTGGCAAAGGAAAAGCTACTTAAAGGACCCAGGTGTATTTTCGCTGCACAGTCAAAAAGGGTGAGGTTGGGGTTCAGAGGCAATAAAACTGATAACCAGCACAGGAAATGTGTCCAGGAATATCCTTGTACGTACTTCACTGCATACTAGCTGAATGTTTTCTCACATTCCTACACATGGAATTGATCGATGAAAAGACAGGCCCAATCTGCTCTCCAGAAAGGTATGTCACCTGTACTCCCATGATAGTACATAGGAGCTTCTCCATCACACACTGGTGAACCCTGGGCATCGGCATGCCTTTAAATCCTTGCATATCCGATAATCCAAAAAAAAAACCAAAAACAAACAAACAAAAAAAACCAACTCATCGTTATTACTTTCATTGGAATTTTTTTTTAAAAAGTAGTGATGTCGGGGCGCCTGGGTGGCTCAGTCGGTTGGGCGGCCGACTTCGGCTCAGGTCATGATCTCACGGTCTGTGAGTTCGAGCCCCGCGTCAGGCTCTGTGCTGACAGCTCGGAGCCTGGAGCCTGTTTCAGATTCTGTGTCTCCCTCTCTCTGACCCTCCCCTGTTCATGCTCTGTCTCTCTCTGTCTCAAAAATAAATAAACGTTAAAAAAAAAAATTTTAAAAAGTAGTGATGTCAAAGCTTTTATTTATTTTTCCGTTTTTATTCTTTTGTGAAATTCATGTCTGTATCCTTTGCCCATTTACAAAATTGGAAAATTGTCTTAACTAAGCTGTAAATGCTCTTTGTGTATTAAGCATCAGAAAGTTTAAATGTTGATGTAGTCAAAACTTCTGTTATTTCATTTGCAATCTTAAAATTTAATTTATCTGGAAATCGCTTTAGGGGCACCTCGATGGCTCAGTCATTTGAGTGTCCGACTTCGGCTCAGGTCATGATCTCGTGGTTTGTGGGTTCGAGCCCCGCGTCGGGCTCTGTGCTGACAGCTCGGAGCCTGGAGCCTGCTTTGGATTCTGTGCCTCCCTCTCTCTCTCTGCCCCTCCCCTGCTCACTCTCTGTCTCTCTCTCTGTGTCTCTCTCTCAAAAATAAATAAACTTAAAAAGAATTAAAATAAAAAAAGAAATCATTTTAGCTTAAGGTGTGAAATAAGTATTTAATAGTTTGTTTTCTTTATTTTCTCTTAATAATATTAACTGTTTCTTTGTTTCTTTTCCTTATATTGCTTTTACCGTATATTGAATTGCACTACATGCCTAGGTATGGACTTCAAATTGTTTTCCTTTGGTTTTTAGTGGCCTCTTTTGCTTTTTCTTTCAGAACAGGATGCAGGCCTCGATGCCCTGTCCTCCATCATAAGTCGCCAGAAACAGATGGGAAAGGAGATTGGGAATGAACTAGATGAACAAAATGGTAAGAACACGTCTGGGGTCAACCGTGTTTGCCGCTTAGTATAAATACTCAAGGCTCTAATGTTCTTTAAACGATTTTGGTACTACAAGACACGTAAAGTAGTTTAACTATTACAGTTGGACGCCGTTGAGGGTGGTTTGTGGTAGATTCAGATAGTGGTTAACTAAACCACGCGAAGAAATTTGATAAGAAATTGCCAGTCCCTTGTCACTGCTTTAAAAAATCCGTCGTATTCTTGGGGGTGCCTGGGTGGCTCAGTCGGTTCAGCGTCCAACTTCGGCTCAGGTCATGATCTCGTGGTCTGTGAGTTTAAGCCCTGCGTTGGGCTCTGTGCTGACAGCTTGGAGCCTGGAGCCTGCTTCAGAGTCTGTCTGTCTGTCTGTCTCTCTCTCTCTCTCTCTGCCCCTCCCCCACTCATGCTCTGTCTCTCTCTCTCAAAAACTAAAAAAAAAAAAACCAAAAAACATTCAAAAAAAAATTCGTCGTATTCCGAGCCACGCAAGGGTTCCAGGAGCGTGTCCTTTATGTGGTGACGTGATAAATGGCTCAGAGCGCTGGGCGTGATGTGAGGCTCACCGGGCCGCGGGGACCCCGCGTGGTCCACATCCCCAGTGGAGCTGGCCCCTCCCTCATCAGCAGTACCAGGCTGCAGGGCAGAGAAGTCCTTGAAGATCTCTGTTCTGGACTCGAGGTGACAGATCTGGTGGAGCCAGATTGGTTCCCACACCGCAGGATGGCCGGGGAGAAACCGAGCTTTGTCGGGGGCCCACCTGCCAGGCTCCTGTGCTGGGGGCGGGCGTGTGGCCTGAGGGGCGGGGCCTGACGGAGAGCCTCGGTGGAGCTGGGGAGGGTGGGGAGGAGGGCGGATGCAGGTGACTGACCGGTGACACCTGTACTGTGGTGGACGGTCGGGGGCGGGAGGGCCACTGGTTTGTGAGCGGAGACCCTGAGCGCAGTTGGGAGGTGTCCAGGTAGAGATGCCAGTGAGCCATCCGAGTGGAAAGGTCAAGTGGGCCCACGGAGGTGTGCTCCCAGGGCTCAGTGACAGCACAGGGCCACAGAGGAGGGATGTCAGAAGCTTCTGCATGGAGGTGAGGTGTGAAAGCATAGCAACAGTGGGGTGTCCGTGCAGCCGGCATTTAGCAAGAGCCCCTCCTGTGTGTGCAGCTTGTTCATCACTGTCATTGCATTGAATCCGTACGCAGCATCGCAAAGGCAGCGTTAACCCCGTTTGCTAGAGACGGAGCTCGGAGTGGCTGACGGGCCTCCTAACGTCACATCACTTGGAAGTGACAGCACCGAAGTTCCAGCACGGGCCACCCGATGCTTGTGACTGCCTTTTCTACTACCCTGCCCTTCCTCTCTGAGGAAGACGACGTAGGGAGAGAAAGGTGGAAGGTTCTAAGACCTTAGCTTTGGTGATGGTGTCATGGAGGCTGGTGATGGCGTGGGGCTCAAGGAATTGCCCACGCACCTGCCAGCGCGGCAGCCTGGGAACGGACGAATCCTTGCCCCAAAGGCAGGGCTGTGCCTGTCAGAACCACGCAGCAAGCTCTTTTCTCCATGGCCACTGAGAATGAGCTAATTTCTTCCCATAGTGCTGTTGCATTTATCATAAAGTCCATTTGGCTATCATCTGTCGTAAATAAGTAGGTTGCTAAAGCAAAGGGACAGATCCTCTAAATTTATAATCCCAGTAGTGGTTTGTAAACAGTTCAAACACGCGGAACGCCTGGTGGCTCAGTCGGTTACGTCTGACTCTTGATCTCGGCTCGGGTCACGATCTCACGGTTCGTGGACTCGAGCCCCACATCGGGCTCTGCGCTGACAAAGCAGAGCGGAGCCTCCTTGGGATTCCCTCCCTCCCTCTCGCTCTCTGCCCCTCCCCCACTCACGCGTGCATGCACACCTGCGCTCTGAAAAAATAAGCGCACAAACGTTAAAAAAAAAAATGAAAAAAAAAATAGTTCAAATGCAGAGCGGAAGACATTTGAGTCCTTATCCCAATGGCGCTAACATGAATGTGCTCGATTATATATTTGCATATAATTCAGTCATCGGCCGGTTCCTTCCCCGAAAGAGCGTCGGTAAGAAAACAAGCTCTAGAGAAAATCTGTTCGCAGGGATAACTGTTCTTTATCTACAGGAAACAGGGCTTGTTCAGTGGGTCAGACTAGGAAGGATTCTAGCCACCAAAATGGTGAAGCACGCCCATGCTGTGATGTGGCTCCGTCCGCCACGTGTGGTCACCTCTGGGCAGGTGGCTGTGAACTGGTGGTGGATTTCTTGGCGGAGGCGGGGGGGGGGGGGGGGGAACTTGCTCACCTCCCAGGCGCGATCACCAGGCGTCTCTGTGGCATAAGCAATCTTGCCGGCTCGTCCTTGTCTTCCCTGCAGTCCCGTGGTTCTTAAACTTTGCTGCTTGTTAGAATCACCTGGGGAGCCGTTAACCGCCCCCCAAACCCCCAAAGCCCAGGCCACGCCAGTGTTCGTTTTCTCTTGTTGCCGTAACAAATTCCCATAAACTTGGTGGCTTAGAAACAATGCACACCTGCCATCTTAACAGTTCTGGAGGTCAGAGGTCTGGCCCGCACCTCCCTGGGCTGAAAAGGCGAGGCGTCTGCAGAGCTGCCATTCCCTTCTGGAGGCTCCAGGGATGAATTCATTTCTTTGCCTTTTCTGGCTTCTAGAGGCTTCCTCCATTCCTTGGCTCGCGGGCCCCTCCTCCGTCTTCAAAGCCGACAATAGCGGATCGAGTCCGTCTAACATCACATCACTCTGACCTCTAACTTCTGTCTCCTTCTCCTGCCTTTAAGGACCTTTGTGATTCCGTGTGGCCCACCCAGGTAATCTGGGATGATTTCCCCCCTTTAAGGGCAGTTGATTAGCCACCTGAATGCCCCTTGGCCGTGCGTGGTAATATGTTCATAGGTTCTGGGGACTGGAATAGTAGACGCCGTCCAGGCCGTTGTTCTGCTCACCACAGTACTCTATACCAGTTCGACCAGAATCTCCAGGGGTGGGGCCAGGGCCAGCGTCTTTAAGGCTCCCCAGATGGTCTCAGTGTCCTGCAAAGCGTGAGAGCCAGCGCCCCCGGCAAACGTCCTGAGAGAACTGACTCAGCGCTCTCCTTTCGTGCGGTCTCCTCTGTGCTCGCTCTGTAGATGCAAATCGCGCACGCGCACAGACGTGCATTCGGAGTCACACAGACACGCGGGTACCGTCCTTGGCACGGCCGGAGGCTCTTCCTTCTGAGCCCACGCTTTACTTGCACCGTCCTCCCTTCTTCCTCCATACCTCCCACTCCTCATCTCCATTCCGGACCCGGACACACACGTGTGTATATAGATAAACACGAGGCATTTTTCCACTTAGTTCCAAAATAAGCTGGGTTTTCTCTGTGGCGGCCTCCCAGAGAGATTGCTGTTATGCTGGTGGTTTTCTAATGTGCACATTCACTCCTCAGAAATAGGGCAGAGTCAGCCATTTTCCTTCGTAGGAACGGAGAGACTCTCTGAGGATAAAAAATTCTGTCCCTGCCAAGACTACAATCAGCCTTTCTTTCCTTTGTCCAAATCAGAAAGGCCATTATATCTGTAGGTATTGAGAACAGGGTGGCAGCCCGATCTGGATTTTTATTGTGATCTGAGTGCGTAACGAGGCGTCGGGGACCCCGGAGCAGGATACCACTTTTGTTGTAAATATCTCTATTTGATTTACTGACCTGCTGGATTATTCTTTTGGGTTTTCATTAGATGAGAAAAACAATAGGCCAGCCAGGCCATTTTGGAATCAACTGTCAAGACCTTCTTAACAAAATACGTTGTACTTAGAACATAACCCGCAAAGCCGACGGGCTGAATTATCGTCAGTATAGGAATTCAGGTTCTAATCTTCTCACGTAGAGTTAAAAAGGCCCAGACCAACACCAGTAACTTCCCTGTTTGTGGGCCGATGACTAGGCCTAATGAGGAAAAGGATTAGGGGTTAAGTGAAAGTCCCAGTATGGGGGGGAAGGAGGGGAGAACCTAACCACACCCTGGATGTGGGGGTGGGGAGCAGGTGAGGGTAGGGGTGGCAGGTGAGTAGGGTGGGGAACCGAGCCAATGAGATCACTTAGGGAACTACAGAGTTTAGTGCCCTTTAGTTCAAGCTGAGATGTATGGATAGCTGGCCACAAAGGGCTCATGTCCGACTACCCGGACGCTGTTCCAGAAGGGGAGTCATGGCACTGGCTTACCAAGCAGCTCCTTAAAGTTCATGCTCAAGAGGACAGGGCCTTTTGAAAAGAGCACTAACACAAGCAAATGGACGAGATTGACTCGATCAATGTAGGTGTTTTTGAGACCTGATTTTGGCATTGGCCAAGCCTTAAAGTCAGCACCAAGAAGACGAACCGTGGAGGCACGGTTCTGATGGCAGAAAGGGCACCAGAAGCAGGCCGATACACCAGTTTCTGCTAATATGTGCCAGTCCTCATCATTCTTTCTGATGTTCAGATATCCCAAATTTGGCCCAATCCTTCTGGTGCTTCTCTGTTAATCTCTGAGCACTTCCTTGTTTTCTAAAAGAAACCAAAGTGACAGAGGAGGGAAACGGCCTTCATAGTGTCAGTACTGAGGTTGATGAGACCAGTGTGTCCTTTCAAAGAGCTAGACTAATAGTATGACTAATGTCATCGAAGGACACACAAAGGCGGGAATTGCCATCGCAAAGGTCTTTAGAACCCCTCACCTGAATTTTCACGTTGAAAGTCTAGGAAGGTAATGTGGTAGGCTGGAGAGTGACCCCCCCCCCCCAAAATATGCACATCCTGATCCCTGGAATGGCAGGGGGGACTTTGCCGATTTGTTAAGGAATTAAGGGTATTGAGGCAGGAAGATCATCCTGGATTATGTGGTTGGGTCCTAAATATCACAAGTGTCTTTTATAAAAGGGAGGCAGAGAGAGATATGAGAAAGAAGACGGTAAGGTAGTGACTGAAAAGATGTTATTCTGCTGGCTTTGAAGACGGAGGAAGAGGGTGTAAGCCAAGGGATACAGGAAACGTAGCTCTACAAGCTGGAAAAGGCCAGGAAATGAATTCTTCCCTGCAGCCCCTGGAGGGACAATAACTTCGGTCCAGTGAAACTGACTTGGGACTTCTGATCTCCTGTAAAGGAATGAGTTGGTGGTGGGAGTGGTTTCTTTTCTGGGTCTTAGATCACGCTTTATTCAAGAACATGCATAGATGTCTATTGACTCCTGGAAAACGTGGTGTGTACTGTTGGGGAGGAAGAATTTTCATCTGTCCTTCAAGATCCTTCCACCTGGACTGGAAATCGAATTGGCATGAGACAGTTTTGCAGGAGAAAATCAAATTTAGTTTCATACTTACTGGGAATTCACATGGACGTGAAATTCGAATGTATGTCGTTTTAAGCCCCTGAGTTTGTGATAATTTGTTAGCGCAGCAACAGGCAGCTAATCTAAGAATTAACGGTGGTTTTTATTTAATCAGTTGTCAGTAAATTCTGGTTAACCACCCTTATGCTAAAAAATGCGTTTTGATATTTTGAGCCTTCCAGGTGTTTGTAGCTCCTCTTCTTGAAGAAATTCTTCAAAGCAGCCTTCACAGAAGGAAGTTTGCATTGCCAGTGCCCCAGGCGATCTCTACCGGAAGCTTCCCACACCGTTTATTTAGCACTTTGATAATAGAATTTAGTTTTGTATTAATGAAATGCGTGGACAGTTCGGTGACAGAATTTTTGGTGGGGTATTCAGGATGAGGATTTCCCAAAGTGTGTTATTAGGCAAGATGGTTTTAGAAAATATGTGGAGAAACACTTTACATCTTAATAGTTGCATAGTTCAACGTGTGACAGAAATAAAAACGGCTAACATTCGAAACCTGTGATTTCACAGCAATATAAAGTTTCCTTATTCAATTAAACTGTATAAGCAGAAAAATAAGCATAATATGTACCATAATAAGTGTAATATTTATGTAATAATATATTATTATAAAAGCATAATAGCGAGTTGATACAAAGGAAAACATTGAGCGTGTATGGTGTGGATGAAATACGAACACGGCAAAGAATTCTAAAGGTGGTACTTGAAAAGCTGACGTTTGGGAAACACCGCCGTAAGAAGACTCTTTGTGTTCCAGGGCTACAGAGTACTTACCTGGTTTTCCGCCTCGACCTAGTACAGCACTCTGTGATTTAGTAAGTGCCCCCTGCCCATGCGGCCCTCCTGACGAGCAGTGGGGTTGGGAGACCAGCTGGAAGGATGCTTCCCAGCCCTGCGCGAGCCTGTAACCCTGGAAGGCCGTGACTGCGGTAGGAGCCATGTTGTCTGGTGCTCCCCGGCCCCCGCTTGGAGGGAAGCAAGACAGGCAGAAACCACCTTTTTTTTTTTTCAGGGTAATATAAAATGTTGTCGTTGTTGTTTTGAACACTTATTTGTTTTTGAGAGAGAGAGCGCACGCGAGCAGAGGAGGGACAGAGAGAGAGGGAGACACAGAATCCGAAGCAGGCTCCAGGCTCCGAGCCGTCAGCACAGAGCCCGACGCGGGACTTGAACTCACCAACTGCAAGATCATGACCTGAGCCGAAGTCGGACGCTTCACCGACTGAGCCACCCAGGCGCCCCTTCCAGGGAAATATAAAATGGCCCAAGGTGCAGGGAGTTCCTGTCACTGCTTGGCAGGTGGCATGTGAGCAGTGGGACGCCAGATCCACCACCCAGAGCTGTGACCCAGGAGAGCTGGGCCCAGACTCTGTGAGCATTTCCCTGTGGCATCAGGCCCTTCACCCGTCAAGCGGGCTTTTGTGAACCGACACGGAATCTCACACCCCTCCCCACTCCCCGCGCCCCCGGCTTTGGAATGCAGACACGTAAACTTCAGGTGCAGGAACAGTTTTCTGTAAATGGCTGTGCCGACCTGGATTCAAGTTTCCTTTACTGGGATTTCATTCAGCGCGCTTGCCCAGCTGCTAGGATTAGCACAGCTAATTAGCAGGGCTCTGACGCCCGCACTTCATTCATAAAAAAAACAAAAAAAAAACAAAAAAAAACCTTGTAGGGCACCTGGGTGACTCAGTTGGCTGAGCATCCAACTTCAGCTCTGGTCATGATCTCACGGTTCGTGGGTTCGAGCCCCGCGTTGGGCTCTGTGCTGACAGCTCGGAGCCTGGAGCCCACTTTGGATTCTGTGTCTCCCTCTCTCTCTGCCCCTCCCCCGTTCATGCTCTGTCTCTCAAAAAAAAAAAATGAATAAATGTTGAAAGAAGAAAAGAAAAGAAACTTGTGAGTTAGTTCCATCTCAGAAATTCTGAGGGTGGGAAGGAGTCTGAGGTCATCCCTCCCCCAACCCCCAGCCGCCTGCCATCTTCCTATCTGTGCTGGCATGTGGGCCTCCAGCTACGGCTGAACACACGGCTTCTGCCCTCACGGAGCTTCTGCTCTGGTGCGGGAGGCTGAAATTAGACAGATCACCGCACAGGTCCCCAGGTAGAGACCCTGGTAAGCAGCATACAGGGTACCACGAAGGCAACAGAATAGCCTGATGCAGTTGGAGGCCCAGGAAAGCCTTCCCTGAGGAAATGACCACTGTACTGAGATTTAAAGGGAAGAACATGTCAAACAGAGGGAACAGCATATGCAAAGCTCCTTATGTGCAGAGGAGCACAGCACGTTGAGGAACGAACGTGCGAGAAGGCCAGTGTCCCCAGAGTCCAGAGAGCCCGGTGAAGAGGCGAAGGGAGAGCAGGCGGAGGGGAAGGCAGGCAGGGGTCGTGTAGGGGTGACCTTCGACCTCCACTGGGCAGTGCCCTGACCATCCATCGGGTTTGTGCTCTCCGTTATGGGGAATCGCCCGACTTCCCACTTACTCCTGTCATTTGTTTAATTTGTTTAATTTGTCATTTGTCATTTGTTTAATTTGCTCAGAATAAGGGAGCCAGGCCTATAAATCTGCGTCTGTGCCCTTTGCAGTGTTCATAGTAGTTCGCGCGTCTAAACCGAGAGTACTCGGCCGCTTTGGGGGACAGGAAATCAGCATAGTGCCGTGGGGGCATTTGCTCGTTTTTCCAACCATGGGCCTTTGTATCATGAAAAACAGCACTGAGAAACCAGGTCGCCCCTCTTTTTTATTTTATTTTATTTTATTTTTTTTACTACGCTTACTGTCTGGGTGGGGGAGACAGACACTGAACAAGTACTCGCCCACATCAGGGTACCTTCTCTGATCATGGTGAGTGCTGTCAGAGAAGAGGCCAGCCGCTGTAGCCGGGATGACACAGAGCCCCACGGCCAGGTGGCGGCTGAGGTCTCAGGGATGGGCCGGACTTGGCTGCGGGCAGCTGCCGCATCCCGGGAGCGGCCGGACATCCCATGTGAGGTCCCAGAGGCTGGAGAGAACCCTGGAAGTCCAAGAAGGCTTTTGTGGCCGGGAAAGAGTGAGTAACGTAGGTGCGTGGACCCGGATGAAGTTGTGCAAGGATCTGGAGCCAGGACTGTTCACAGCGTGAACACCTAGTAAGCCCTGAAAATTACAGAGAATTTATATTTTCCTGGGAGGGACTCTGGTTTCTTTTAGCCACAATCAACAGTCCTAGTCAGGAAACGATTATGTTCACAGCAGTTTTGAGCAGGGCTGTGGCTCCAGACTAATTTATACTATTTCTTCTTTGGAAATCTACTAAAAGCTTGTACATCTTCCTGCAAATAGCAGTCCTACAGCCACAGATACTGCCGTTCAGTATTTTTAATTCCATTGAGCCCATTAGATTTTATAATTGCCGTCAGTTTTCCTTTTTAACTCCTTGTTTCTAAATTTCCAGGTGTTGTTAAACCATCTTTTTTTTAATTGTTGATTTTCTCGTTGAGTTGCAGAGGGGTCAGAGAATCACGTCCTGTCTCATACTGGTCCTTCTCCACTCATCACGATCTCCTCTGGGAGGGTGAGAGCATGACCTGAGCAGAAATCAAAAAGTCAGACACTTAACTGACTGAGCCACCCAGGCACCCCTGGCCGGTTTTTTATTTTATATATTTCAAGGAGAGGCTTTTAGGCATATATATGTACTATGGGCTATTTTATTTTATTTTGGTGGTTGTGTCTTTTTACCATTATAGAAATATCTGCCTTTATCTCTGATGCATTTGCCCTTTAGACCTATTAATCGGTATTAATATCACTACCTAGGCTTTCTTTCATTTGGTTATGGTGACATTACCTAGTATAGCGATTGTCCAACTTTGTGGTCTAGGACCCCTTTGTATTTTTTTTTTTTTTTTACCATTTATTTTTGAGAGACAGAGAGAGGCAGAGCATGAGCAAGGGAGGGGGAGAGAGAGAGAGAGAGAGAAAGAGATAGATAGATAGAATCTGAAGCAGGCTCCAGGCTCTGAGCTGTCAGCACAGAGCCCGACGCGGGGCTTGAGCTCATGAACTATGAGACCATGACCTGAGCCAAAGTCGGACGCTCAACCGACTGAGCCACCCAGGTGCCCCTGTATTCTTAAAAATTATTGACAGTTCCTCAGAGCTTTTGTTTATGTGGATTAACTCTGTCAGTACTAACTGCATTTGAAATTAAAAGGAGACATTTAAAAAAGCATTGATTAATTCTTTTAAAAACGAAAACAAACTATTACATGTTAACATAATAAACTTAATTTTTATGAACAATAATCCTCAAACATAAGCAGCCTCAACTAGAGAATGCTTATTATATTTTTTATCTTTTAGTGCCCGTCCATTGTAGATCATTGGTGGGCATAGTTCATTGAGATCCCCGGCTGATGGAGTCATCACCATTTCAGACATTTCGGGACAGTGTGTTGGAGATCGAGATCTTGAGGGACTTGTTCCTACAATTAAATGCTCTGGCCCAGAAGTTACTGGTCAAATTTTTTTATTATTACTATTTTTAATGTTTACTTATTTTTGAGAGAGAGAGAGAGAGAGAGAGAGAGAGAGAGAGAGAGAGAGGGAGAGAGGGAGGGCATGAGCAGGGGAGGGGCAGAGAGAGAGAGGGAGACACAGAATCCGAAGCAGGCTCCGGGCTCCGAGCTGTCAGCCCAGAGCCCGACGCGGGGCTCGAACTCACAGACCGTGAGATCATGACCTGAGCCGAAGTCGGATGCTTCACCGACTGAGCCGCCCCAGGCGCCCCTTGACTGGTCAACTTCTTTCGCAACTCATTGGTCAGAGCTAATCATGTGCCGGGAAGTGTAATCCTACCAATATGTCTGGTTGAGTGATGCGGGGGTGGGGGGTTGCAAAAGGTACTGGCTGAATGGCACAAATGAGTATCATGGGGATAGTATTTAGCAGTGAAGAGCCAAACTGCCTCGGATACTTACTAGCTCTGTGACCCTGAGCAAGTTACTTACTCCTCTCCTGACCTTCTCATCTCTAATATGGGGATTTCAGTGCCTGTTTTATAGCATTGTTTGTGAAGCTCTTAGAATAGTGCCTCACACGTAGTAAATGCTGTAAGAGCGTTTTCCGTTGTTAACTGCTTTATTATTCACAGTACAGACTTCCGGGTCAAAATGGCAGGCTGAGCTGATGGGGGAGCCCTCTCACTTCCTCTTCCAAACACACGGAAACGTTAGATGAAACATTTTTTAAAATTGGTTTCTACTTCTTAGCTGACCTTGAAAGCAAGCAAGGGAGTCCCCTGGGTGTCAGAAATGAGGGCGCTTACCCCAGCGGTGAGAGGAATGGATGTTCCGTGGCCTCAGAGGTGGCTGAACCAGATATGTCCCTTGGGGACCGGCGTGTAAACCCCCGCGCGTGCGGATGGGAATTGAGGCTCTGGGCCCTGTGCCTTGTAGGGGGGGCTGCAAGCAGGCCCTGCGTGTAAAGCCAGGAGCTGGGAAATGACACTTTTATGGGAAAGCCAATGTCCCCCACCTGCCACCCAAGAATGAGATGCTCAGTTAGGCCACCCACCTTGGGCCTCAGCCACCCTTATATTTTTAACATGCATACCTAAGTTTACATTTTTTCTAAGAAAGTCTAAAGCAAATAAATATCTCAGAATAAATCAAGTTGAGAATGCTTACACTTTCCTTCAAAGTCCTCATCTTTCAAGCTGTTTTCAACAGAAGCCACTCCTCCTCCCCCACTTCTTTTTTCCTACAGTCAGTATTTTATTCGGATTTACTAGCATATTTTACTGATTTCTGTTAAAATCGTGGTAGCCATTCTGTTGCTCAGCTCTTCTGGTTGAGTTTTTTTTTTTTTTTCCTTTCTAATTTTTGAGAAATAGACTTTTGAAACACTCAATACGCTTTAATGCCCACCGTTGCCTTTTTTCCACAAAAGTGTGTTTTTAAGGTGACAAACTCTTTGACACCTTCGAATGGTACACCAGTGAGAACTGAAAATTTTTTTCCTTTTGCTCCCCGCATCCTTTCTGTTTCCTCCGGGTGAGTTTTGGTTTATTGATCTCCGTCTTCGGCTTTCACGCCGTCACGGGCTGAATTGCGTCCCCTCAAAACCCCTATGTTGACGTCCTAACTCGCGGAGCCTGAGAATGTGACTGTAATTGGAACTCGGGTCTTTGGAGAGGTGTTTGAGCCGAAATGAAGTTATTAGGATGGGTCCCCATCCCCTGTGATCGATGTTCTGTGACAAGACGAAATGAGGATGCAGACACACCCAGGAAGGGACCACCACGTGAAGAAGACTCAGGGAGAAGGTGGTCACCTGCAAGCGAAGGAGAGAGGCCTCAGGAGACATCAGCCCTGTCAACACCTTGATCTTGTACTTCCAAAGCCTGTAGAACTGTGAGGCACTAAGTTTCTGCTGTTCGGGACACCCGGTCTCGGTACTTCATCGCGGCAACCCCAGCAAACCAGCACCCATCGCACGGAATTCCTTATTGACGGCATATTAACGAATTAAGGGCCAGGTCAACGAGTATGGGTAGCTAACATAGGCTTTCTTTGTACTTAGGTGGGTTTATTTACCAAAAAAAACCACCCCGCTTTTGTTGAGTGGGGGGATTAGCTATGCACTGTGTTTAAATGGGCGGGGTATACCAGTAGGCAGGGTTCCCTGTAGGGTACGTGGTCAGCTAGAAGAGAACCAGGACCCTTTGCTGTAACCCTTTATCCCCAAATTACTAAGGTAAGGAGAACTTTGACCTTTGGGGGCAGAGGGGGGACACCAACACCATGGGTACTCCCCAGGCAAACGTTCCTCTCTAGAGAGAGCTGTTCTGGGAGCTCCAGCTGGGACCCAATACTGCAGACTGTGGTTTACACAGGACAAGCCTAAGAGCCAACGGGCTCAGCTTTTCTGTAGACAATTCTCCCCTCAGATGCCCCGATTCCTGCCCGACAGCCACTTCTTTGTAGGCCATTCTTTGGCTCCCAATAGCCATTGACTCACTCCGAGCTTGGAGTCTCTCCAGGGTTCTAGCAGGAAGAAAGAGCTCCTATCTGTAGCTCTGATGATGTATTTCAGGTTGCCTGCCACCCGCCACCCCCCCACCCTCAGTTTTGGCTGATTCGTCAATACAGTCCCAACTATCTTCTTTTTAGGAGAAAGCCTTTAAAATGACTTATTCACTGATAGCGCTCTGTGTTTTCAGTGCCACCATGGATTTATTCTTTCAAAAAATATTTTTACTGGCCTTTCATTGTGCTCTTGGGAAGAAAGGGGGCAGCATGTATGTTTACTCTACTGTCTTGAGCTCAGAGTCTCTCTTTTATATCGTGTACGAGGTCACACTATCTGTAGAAATTGTCTTGCTGAAACAACTAGTGTTCTGGAAGCTTCAATTAAACAAGTTTTTAATACGGTCTGTGAAAGTTGTTTTCTAGGGCTTCTGTGATTTGAGTGATACCCCCAAGTTATCCCTGATGTGTTTATAGATGAATATTCCAAAAGAAAAGACAATAAGAGAAGGTGATTCTTTTCCATGCACTGAGGGTATTAAATACTCAGTGAAAGTAAGATCAGTTCTTTATCGGATTATTTGTTACTCATCTCTAGGGAGGGGCTAGTTTATAGTAATGGGGTCTGGAACAGGAGGACAGAGGGAGAGAGAGAGAAAGAGTGAGTGACCTAGTGAGAGCAAGTGTGTTGTTCCAATAATAATTGACATCAACTGGGTGTCCGATAATTTAATTCAGGTATGACACTATTTACCTGGAGATAATGTCAGAGTCCAAAGGTTTAGGGGCTTAGTCTCATGACTGCCCTCACCTTGGACACCAGCTTCAAGTCCTGAGTATCCTGAGGTCTTTATGCCCCACTGGCTGCAAACACAGGGTTCCCACGGCACCCCTCTGGGATCCAATAGTTTGCTAGAAGCACTCACAGAACTCAGGAAAAGGCTATACTTACGGTCCCAGTTTTTTATAAAGGATACAACTCAGGAAGGCCAAACGGAAGAGGCCCACAGGGCAAGGTCTTAGGGTGGGGGTGCCCACAGAGCTTTCATACCTTCTCCGGACACATCACCCTCCTAGCACATCAGTGTGTTCACCAGCCGAGAAGCTCCCCAAACCTCATCGCTGGGGAGTTCTTATCGAAGCTGCGTTGCATAGGCATGGTCGATGAAATCTTTGGTCATGCAGGGAAACCCAGATTCTTTGAATTTGCTGACTCTGCAAAAAAGATACCCAGACACATGCATGAATGGTGTTTATCAACTAGCTTTAACTCTGATGATGAACTGGGTTGGATCCGTTTTGGGTCCCAAGCTTTTATTTGCCCATCTGGTCTAGGGCCTCCTTTATCCCTTCCTTCTAGGTCCACCCCTTGGCCTCTACTCTGGCCACGAAGCCAGTCTGAGAGGCCGTCTAATGAGAGAGAGTGGCAAGAATTTTCCAAAGGAAGAGCTGTGGAAACAGTTGTCAAGGGAAAGGGCATTTATCCTCAGGCCCTAGGGTAGCTGGCCTGGGTGATTCATCAGGCTTCCTCTCCCCAGGCTTTACCACAGCTCCTTCTTCACTTCCAAGAGGGAGACTGTGAGGCCAACCGTAGCAGCTGAACTGGAGAACGGATGACAGGAAAGCAAGCCAAAGTGAGAGATCAAAGAGAGGAAAGGCCAAAGCAATCGCAGATGGAAAGAGGTCAAGCTAGAAGCTCCCCGTCCAACCACTTGAGCCCAGTGATAACACTGTTACTGCTCCTTGGTGCTTTTGCAGGAAGGGGGAACCTGGGGTGCTCCTTGGAGGCTGCATTGGGGGTCCCCAGGACCACTGTGGTTTCACTGTTGTGCTGGAAGGACTCACAGGACTCAGCATATACGTGCCTGCTCACTAAAATTTGTTTATAACCCTCAAATCCGTGCTCATGGTGCTTTCACAGGTCCTCACAGACGTGGGTGAAGAGGTGAGAACTTTGAGGCATCCAATGGCTACCTTCTCAGCCAAGGTCAAAGCAGGCGATGCTCTGCCTTTTCATTTTCCCTCTTACACAGAGATAACCAGAGCATGGAGACCCCAGCTCTGGGGCCAGGTGGACGGGATTGGAACCCCCACTCTGAGCCCTGTTGGGAGGGTGGCCTCAGGCAAGTCACAGAACACTTGTGAACTTCGTTTTTCTTTTGAAAACTAAAGAAAATAGAATCTACCAGGATGAGTTGTTTTTAGGCTTTAAGATACAATCTGTGTGAGATCTCCCTCCCTCTCTCTCTCTCTCTCTCTCTCTCTCTCTCACACACGTACCCTTCACTATCCAAAATTAGAGCATTCCTGTGATATCTTCCATAAGCCGAAATGGCATAGAGCAAAGAAGCAGTTATCATTAATTTACCTGAAAACAATTTTGAGCCTTCCCAGACCCAAAAAATAACAATCTTTAGGCTTTTCTGATACCTTAGGACACATCTTGCTAACGGATGCACAGAGCGAATCCAGATAAAACACAGATGTTCACAGAGCACGGTTCCTGAGTGTGGCAGTGTAATGCTGGGATGCTGAGTGTAATTGTTTCCTGGGGAAGGAGCCTGGGGAGGTCACTTGCGCTACATCCGGTGCAGGCCGCGTCTGTAATGGCTCTCTGCAAAACGAACGCTCAATGCTATTTTTGCTTTTTTTTTTTTTTTTTTTTTTTTTGTAAAAGGGAAAAATCTTCTTTGGATTTCTTTTGGTTAGCGAAAACGAGTACTCTTGTAGGTCTTTCGTAAAGGTGGAGGGGCATAATGCAAACTTTCGAAAAAGCGCGGGGAGGGGGTACTTGTCTAATGTCCACACAGCATGCACACATACGTGTCCTTTAGGAACAATGGTTCAGTATCTGCTAAGTCAGCGTTCATGATGACTTTATAGAACTACCACGAATAACAAGAATTGACTCTGGTTATACTCACAGTTACGATTTATCACAGTGAGAAAACACAAAGGACAGTCAGGGAAAAAAGGTGCATGGGGCGAAGTCCAGGGAAAACAGGCGTGAGCTTTTAACCGGCCCCTTCCAGTGAACTCACACAGCATTTGTGTGAACAGCCCAACAGTGAGTTGTGACGGCATCTCCAAGCGTTGCCAACCGGGAAGCTCATTAGAGACTCAGGGCCCCGCGTTTTTGGAGGGTATTGGTCACGAAGGCCCTCTCTACTTGGCTCGTTCCCCAGTTTCAGACTTCCGGAAGGAAAGCAGGTGTTCAGCACAAACCGTATTATTTATACAGTTTAGGAACAGAGATGAGCACTCGTTATCAGTTAATGGTGGGAACCCTCTGAAAATCCAGCTTTCCAAACGCGAGCCAAGAGCCAACTTTGTAAAGTAGGCTTTTCTAAGAAAAGCGCTTACGCCTTGCTGTGTCGACTCTTTTTCGCAAAGAGGCCACCCCCGAGTATGATTTATTCGTCCTAGTGCGTCTGTCTGTGATTGGAGGATTTGTGGAAGAATGAGAGAAGTAGGGTGTGCTCTTCTGAAAATAGGGGCACAGACAGAAAGCGCAAGACTGAAGACAAACGTGAGCCCTTCCCCGTGTTTTCTGGGATATTACACATCCAGTTCCATCCCCGAGGGTCTCGAGCTGAGTTCGGCGGCTCTTTAGGGCCCTCAGAGAATGTGCGTTCCTAAGTGGAGGTTGTTTAGGATATGGGGAGGTGAAAAAGATGAAGAACTTTGGTAACAAGACCCACAGCAGTAGGAAGGAAGTGGTCTGATCAGAAGCAGGTGTTCAGGCAGGGAAAGACAGTGTAAGAAAGGAATGGGAGGGCCGAGCGGTAGTTTTAGCCGACTTACAGTCCTTAAAGGAGCTTGAGCCAGGAAGGTGCCGGGTCTTGACCATTCATTTTGGGGTGAGACACAATGCTCTCTTTCCATCTGGCCAGTCCTGCCAAGAGAGAGAAATCTTTAGAGACTTTTCATTTGATTTCCAGTATTACTTAAAACCGTTGTAACCATTTTAAGTGGTAGTGTAGGAACCGGATTGGTACCACACATGAAATAATTCTGCCAGCCAGTTTGGTTGGTTTGAAATCCATAAACACAGGTTAGTACTAAAGAACTAACAGCTCATTGTTTAGAGTATGTTTACAACCATCCCTTGAATACATTGAGTATATGTACCTCCTGAGTGTCTGTACTTCCGAATAAGTGAACTTCAGGAGATCCCATTGTGTCTCTGCGTCCCTTGGAGTCATTCGGGTAAGAAAATTTGAGGCTCTGTATATAGAAGGGACCCTTAGGATTCACTCCTAACTCATGTTGGATTTGTGCCATTTCACGCCTTCCAAGCCTGGCCAGTCCCTGGGGGTGGAGGTGAGATGAGTATTCACTTACTGTTTTCAGTCAAAGGGTATGAGAGTAGCCATTTTTGTTTTGCTTTGTTTTCAAAAATAATACTTTCTCTTATACATGCTTTTGCCAGAAATGGGCAGAGGGCCTAGGAAGAAGTAAATCATTGTGTTTTATGGGAGATGTGTTTCGGGTGGGCTCGTGAAGAGATCAAGCTTTAAGTAGTGGTTTGGGGCGTAAAATAATGAGATGATTGTATCTTTTTTTCATCTTTCTGTGTACTTGTGTATGTATAACCTGACTCCTACTGCTGTAAGTCAGGCCTCAGTTTCCCCTGCGAAGGAAGAGGAAAAGATAGTGCATGTGTGTGTCTGGGGGGGGGGGCGGGCGGGAAAGAGACGGGTAGGTGTGGGCTTACGCTTACATTTGGAATGGAGTATATTTCATAGTCTAGGAGTTCACAGTACGTGAAACTACCAGGTGGCAATACTATTCTCCTTCTCAAAGGGCACTGTGGGCTGGCCAGGTTCCTCAGCTTCCTCACTGAGAGTCCTGTTTGCTCCTTTATCTGGTTGGAATAACTAATACCACATGGGTCGCACAGACAGGGAAGATTGCCAAGAGGGGAAGGGAAATTTTGTTTTTGCATCCTTGCTTAACTTGTGACTCTTACCTTGAAAATCAAGTGTCTTCTCTTTTTTTTTTTTAAGTTTATTTATTTACTTAGAAAGAGAGAGAGGGAGGAGGAGGAGGGACAGAGAGAGAGAAAGAGAGAGAGAGAGAATTCCAAGCAGGCTCTGCACTGTTAGCATGGAGCCTGATGGGGCTCAAACTCATGAACCATGAGATCATGACCTGAGCTGAGATTAAGAGCCAGATGCTTAACCAGCTGAGCCACCCATGCGCCCTCACATGTCCTTTTCTTATCCATAAAGGCATTGAGCCACATGTTGGATTCTCTTGGGAGAAGACTCAGGAGGGAGTTTAATTTATTTCTATTTTTATTCATTGTTTTGCTCTTTCTACCGTTTCTTTTCATTTACAGCCCATGTGCCAGGGAAATCAATCCCATAACATGAGACATTTCTATGAATCAAAGCATAAATACGCAAACACAATAGACAATCCAAAATGGATGGGCTGCGTTCAGGCATGACACAAAAAGGAATGTTCGTTCACACACACAGTAGCTTGTGATCTGTTGTTCCGATGCCGTATTTTTTCTAAGGATGGCAAAAAAAAGACTTTGGTTATCAAGACTGCCGTGGCCATGTTAGATATCGGAATACCTGAGCACTGGCGCATGACCATGCAAACAAAAGTCCTGTCTGTTTTCAAAAACCTTTCCATGCATCGAGGCAGCTG